GTATTGGTACAAATTCTAGTAGGTTATATCACTTAGATCATCTGAACTGCACTAGCACACACATGATATAGTTTCGATTCTACATCCTATATGTGATTTGTGATGGGCGCTTTATTGCAGCATCCGTACATAGGTACTTTGTAAATCCTGCATCAGCGGGAAACGTCCGCCAAACAATTCTGGACCGTACCCTTTAGTCGAAGCAGGGCAGGGCCAGATATTCGCTATAGACTACTGTGCTAGAGTATATACGACCAGACTACAGACTACATTCTCTCCCTTTATCTTCGCGTGTCCCACTCTCACTTGGAAACTCTCTCTTTGCCACAACGATTACTCTGATTGTCGGATGCAGAATTTCCAGAGCGGAATATATGCGGCGAACCGTGTACCTATCCAGTACTTTGAATTCCCCTGATGAATATCGCTCTGGGAAATCGAGAGAATTTCATTACCATGGATACTAAGGTGTACTGATTTTGTAAAAATATTCTGTTGCATCATTAATTTTTTAATTATTTTTTTTGCCAAGTTATTCGACTTTCAGGAAAAAAAATTCAAAGATCATTTGACACTAAAATTATTTACCAGCAAATATAAAAAAAAAATGAAAAAAAAAAAAAAAAAAAGAGTAATTTATTTTCACACAAATTATTAATTTTATAAACTATACAAGCGATCGTAAATAAAGCAAATAGGAATTCCAAAAGTGCCAATGGGTCTGAAACTCGTAATTAGCAAACCGATGCAAGTTTATGCTATGCTACTGGTCTAGCTAAAATTTATGCAGTCATTGAAATTGCGATGCACAAAAGGGGCTTCAGTAACGCAGGAATTGTACGTGGCTTCTCCAGTAATTCATCCCCACACGTGGATAGGTGAGTGAGTAGGCGAATGCAATGAAGACAAATTACTCATTGATGTGAATAGAAACTAATTAACTATGAGTGGGTCTGCTTAGCCAATAGCGAGTCTACTACTGATATACAGTCCATTTTTATCAGCCAGGGTCAATTATTAGTAAATTAAATTGATAGTATTCAATGAAAAATAATAACAAAAATCTTTTAGAATTATCCTTTTGTAGCATCTAAAGTTTATATTAGGATTTTAATGAAAAAGTTTTAAATCCTTGAATAATTTTTCCCGAGACCGCAGGACCAATAAATGCAATTAAAGTATCACTGAATTGCAAACTATCGAATTACATAAAAAACAGGGGAAGTGGTTCCAAATAATGAGAGAATTTATTATCCAGATCCTAATTTCACTGAAATGGTATTAATTCAACGGTAATTGATTGTTAATTCAATATTGCGCTGAAATCGACTCGTTTTAAAATAAAGCCCAATATTAAATTGTAAATTATCTGTATTATCTATTTGTATGACTGCGTACAGTGCGTCCAGTATAAAAAGGATCACCCGAAAATCGCGAAAACAGTCTACTGATAATGAAATGACAATAATGACCATAATAATAATAATATTAGAAGCAATAGTAATAGTAATAGTAATAGCAATAAAATAACATAATGAAATGGTAAAAAATCGATGGCATGCGCACGCATTGAGCAGTTAATCGGGGCGTTGCAAATCGGCGATAGCATAAAATCCATCGAACCGTTTGGTTTCATTTAATTTTCCGCAGATGTCCTTTTATTCAGCACAATATTTAATATATACCTACATGATTGTATATATTTATCTCAATAACGATATGTAAATTGAAGCTTCTCTCTCAATAACAAATCGACTAATTTCCCCGACAGCAACTTGATTTCAAAACGTTCAATAAATAAAATGATATAAAATAAAATACAGGCCGAAACGTATAGATAAAAGTACAATCAAAATAAATAAAATCAATCACCAAATAACATCAACAATAAATGTCATTAATTAACTTTGTCTTTTATTTACTATTTTATTTTTATCATTAAAACATTTAAACTCGTGAACTTTTACAGCCCGCAATCGAAATCCATAAAACTACGAATGACAAAGGGATGATTGTGATTGAAACCGAGAAAAAATTAGCGGGAAAAAAGTGTCAAATTAAATTCTCAACCGCTTTGGTTCTATTCAAACGTGACATTTTCGTCCAGTCTATTTGGTAAAAAAAAAAAAAAAAAAAAATTGTCGAGAACGCTTATGATTCTCTCGAAACTGAAACAGTGAGCATAAAACTGAAAATTTAACGGTCTCGAACCATCGACTCGCCGATCGTTAACGTGTGATATTTCCCACGGGTTTCTCTTCGTATCGGTAGATCGTTAATTTTCTCCGATAGCTTTTTTTTCCACTTGCAAATTATTCGTGACACCCGATCATTTTTCATTGGTAGCGTATGCATTGAAATATACATCTTCGACATAGATTTTATGATTAGCTACATTCGTTTTCTCCCAAGAATAATCTATTTTATTTTTTTAAAAAACTTATAGTCAATATATATTAATTTCTATTTTTTTTTTTATTAAAAATTCCTCCTGAAAAATTTGTCAACATAGTCCGATATAGTCACGAGTTTAAATTGTAATTACTTTAGTAACTGAAATAAACTACCATTGATGTTAAATTGCGGATATTTTAATAAAATAGTGATACGTTAACATTAGCACCAATAAACCACAGAAGGGTAAAAATAACACAAACATTATCGTAATAGTAATCATGTAATGTAATGGAAGCGCCAGAACATACAAACCCCGGTAATGATATCCAGTAAGTGAATGGACGAACAAATTTGCTCATGGTTGTTAGCAATTATTATCGTACGCTTACGATATTTTATCGATAATTAATTGATATCGTAATCTGTTGTTGGTGCGTTAACCTAAAAGAGGTCACCACAACGCCGCTTATTTCAATATCCATATCTGTAAGTACAACCTAAGCAAACATCGGTTCTACTACTACACCATTCATATGTATAATACATTTTAAATACATAGAAATGTTTGAGTTAGAATGAAGAAAATCTCATTAGGGATTCCGATAGAGAAACACCACGGAATGTTGGTAATCACAAATACCTATAGGTACACCAATGCAATGTTTTACGCAAACATCATTTGCCAAAGTTCCTCCTCCTATCTCTAAGCAGTTTAGCAAAGTCATATCAATTTTATCATTTCCGATTTTATCGCATAGTTCTGCTCTTTCTCATCTGAAGATTTTCATACGATGCACATGAAAAAACATATTTTCGCTTAAATAAATTACTTTCTTGATATTGAACATTTTGATTAAAAAATTTCAAATAATAAAATAGAGTAAAATTATTTTTTTAATAAATATTATTTCATTTAAATATTATTATTAGAAAAATTTTCCTTGAATGAAAAAAAAGAGCTTTATTAGCTCAAAAAAAAAAATTTTGGTTCAAGCTAAATTTTTTTTCTGTGCATGCAACTTTTCTGTTCATTCAATGTTACAGTATGACTCTATTTGGCATTTCACGTTTTTTCTAAATGAAAAAATGACAAACATCCGTCACATTTCCAGAAAATTTGAAATAAAAATAAAAGCAACAATGGATTAAAGTCGTGCATAGTTGAACTCCTGAAAAGCTAGCGGGTAGGCCCGTAAAATATCGGAGGTGATATTTAACCAGTGAAAGCTGGTGTCCCTTGCGACAACCTGAAAATTCGCTGGACTTTTATAGACAGACTCCGATATTTACGAGTATTTTTACTATCGATGCACCCACGAGAAAGAGTCGAGATAGAGTACATATATTCGTACGTCATAAACAACGCCTAGTTTTTCATCCAATCGATCGACTGAGTAGTGAGTAGTCACTCACCCCTCTTCCCCAACCACCCGGTATGTTTGTTTGTACATTTCAGTGTCTAGTCCGATGGTATTTTTCTCCCACTGTTTATATTCTTGTGCTCACAATCCCCAGCAAAAGTTGTCGTATTTTTCATCCATTTTTTGGGTACTCGATGTCTTCGAGTGCACTTTGTTACCCGCTGCTGTGTTCCGACATTGCAAATAAACTACAGTGTTGTAAAAAATACCCGTTATAAATCATTTATATTTATATTCCCAAAGCTTTAAGTACTGTTATTTGTTATTTGAATGGAAAATTATTAAACTTTCGTTATTATTGCGAGTTTAATGGATTTAATGGACGGTAATAAATAAGAAGTGAAAAATCGACTAACTTTGTATTATCGTGGTTAGTTTTGGAACTTTAAAAGCTCGGTGTTATTGCAATTGTCGATTCAACCTTCACTCAAAGCTACAATCGAACTTTTGTGTAAAATATTATAAAAAGATCGATTAAAAATATAAATGATAAAAAAAAAATTCGTAGTTCATCTTTGATGATAAAAAAAAAAATTAAAACGATCCAATATTTTTAACAGAAATTTCCATCAATATCAAGATAACTTTGATTATTTTAAAAGTAATTACTTTGTTTTAGATTAAAATCGAGCAGAGTGCTAATAGCGATTTAAAATAAAACTTTACCTAGTTTTATTCACATGACAATTTTTTAGTTAAATTTAAATAAAATAAAAATCTGACAATCAGCTGACCTACTTCTTGGTACTTTTTAAATTCAAATAATCATATCAAGATTTATTGATCTCGTGGTTGTAAAAGTTGAAAAAAATAAAAAATAGATGACCTGAATATTTAAGAGATTAATAATTTTTCCTGGAAAAAAAAAAAAGAAAAAAGTGATAGATAAATAAAAATTGTAAAAAATTTGCTAAGTAAGATAAAAATTTTTAAATAAATATTTAATTGAAAGTGAATGGTGATAAAAGCAACGAACTGATAAAGATCGAAATAAAAATTGTACTGTACAGTAATTTGGGAAGGTGACCCTCGGAGAACTTGGAGAGCTAGAGAGTCCTGAGAGATTAGTGGATTGAAGGAAAAAGAATAGAAGGTGTTGGATAAAACCAATTGGCGATCGACGTCAGTGATGACTGAAGTGAGGTGGCGTTCGGGCCGTGGTGTTAAGCTCTCGCCGGATAAATGTGCGCGATGTATTTTTACGCCAGCAAGCTGACTGCGGCGGCACTGAGCGCGGGTCTGCGGGGTGGCGGCGGCGGGGGAGGGGGAGGACATTCCACGAACACTGGCGCGGTGTGTCGTTGCCACGAGACTCCGGGTAACGATTCCACCGGCAACAAAGGTATCAATGCCGCCCCCGCAGAACTTAGATCCCCGGGCCCGTCGTTACGTCAGCTTGGCAAATTTTCTCCGCCGCCTCTCTCGAAGTCAACGCATCGCGCTCCGCAGCAGAACTATGGCATTACCAATAGTAATAGTAGTAACGCGAAATCAGTTTCCGCGGGCGTGAGTAGCGCCATCTCACAAGCGGGCTTTGGGCCCACTACCTCGGAACACGTTTTTGTTACTGCCAATATTGAACATAGGAGTAATCATCATCACCAGCATCATCGACATCGTAGTAAACACAAGGTACTTTTGCTTTATTCCAGGATTTTTTTTTTACAATAATTAAATGAAATGAAAATTAATTTTCGATTAAATAAATAATTATTATTTATTGTTGTTGTTGTTCTTAAATTATTTTTAAAATATAGAACAATATGGTAGTATATAAAAATAACAAAGAAATGGTAACGAGTAAAGAACATTGTGTACCAAGAACTCGACATGAAGGAGGCGATTGTAGATCTCTCGAGAAGAGATATCTCGAGGCACAATAGCACTAATAACTTACAAAGGTTTTAAATATAAACCTTGTAACTTGTATTTGTGTAAGTAAGAGTCTCTTATATTAATTATGAACAACCCTTACGACAAAGTTTACTCTCTCTTAATTGGGTTTGTATATACAAATTTACGTCACCTGCCTCTAACATTATCTTTCTGACAACAGAACCCGTCATCATCTTATTCTGTAATTTACTTTGACGTGTTTATCACTGGAACTCGAGTTTCCTGGACTGAAAAAGTTTATTTAGCAATTCCCAATCTAATTAAATTTATCGTGTTCTCAAACGGCAAAGCAAACTATCATATTCTGATGTATTAAATTCACATGTCAAAAGGTTCGTTTTCTTGATCTTAAATTAGTTCTATCTGCGATAAATTCAAAAGATACAATAGTTAATTAATATTTTATTTTTAATAATTAATTTTTCATTACAATATTAAAATTTTTTTCTTCAGGTTATGGGCCCAGAAAAATCAATTTTTTATTTTTATGCGGAACTATTCTGCGCTATAACAGGAATGTGTGGAAGTAAATCATGAGAGGTTCTGGCACTTAATAGGATCAAGGAAATAGCTTTCTCATTTTTTACAGGAACTGAAAGTATCGTTAAGGGATTTCGCTGCTTACCCGACAACAACTTAGATTTTTTTCTCATATTTTTTTTCATGCGCGAAAGAATTCACTTATTCCTCAGTTATTTTTCTATCCATGAAAATAAACTTCTACATATAGAACTTTATTATTACAGCATACCATAAAACAAAAATTAATAATTTATTATTTACTCAAAAGTTTATTTATTATCCCTCTGTTATTTCACTTCTTCATACTAATATTTACTCTTGTATTTAATGTATGATTTCAAGTATGCAAAAAACTCAGAAGTCAAAACACAGTGTTCTTATTTTAGAGAAAACATTTTTCTCATAAATTTTCCTCCATTATATTTACTTTCGTAAATGTTAAGAAAAATCACATACTCTCAAGCGACAAAGTAATCGTTATTTTTCTTCTCCATTAATGTTTTTACAATAGAATATAAAATAATTTGAGCAGAGTATAATGTAATTCGTTGGAAAAGTTCAACTACCCCGGGGTGACAATATCTTAACATATTTTTTGCATGCATGAGTTAAGCACGTTACATCATATTTTTCCGGTTTAAATTTGCTCTGCTCGTTCTTCTGTAAGTACCAGCTCGGATCATAGAGTACATGAACTTCGTCAATATGACTACGGACAATTAACTGCCAAGCTGTAGGGTCACTGTAGTATCATTGAAAAAAAAAAAAAAAAAAAAAAAAAAAAAAAAAAAAGAGGGAAAAAAATTCATTCTGTGCACTAATGACGAGCTTGCATTATAAAATTCAAAACAAACTCAATAGCTTTTCATATAAAACGCGCATATTTCGTAGAAAGTAAAATGAGAAAAAACAATTCGAAAGAAATTTAGAAAATTTTAGAAAAAAACATTTTTTTTTATTAAAATAAAAAATTTTTCATTTTAATTAAAAAAAAAAGCTCCTCATTTATTCCATCAATGTTTGTCCAAAGTTTCCGCCCTTATAATAAAAAAATTTCCATTGACCATTCATCATATTCTATTATGACAATTGTTTTGACAACCTGATCTCCAGGGTAGCAAAAAAAATTCAGTTTGACCGGGATTAGGATTTGCTTTCCCGGAATGTAAATCTGGTTTAAGTGAAGGCCAGTATAAGCAGCAATAAGATCAGTGTACCGCCATAATCTACAGCCCTAGGCGGTGTATTCCGGTGAGCTGTATTCCGTATCGAACCTCACGATAGAGATCAAGAGCACTCATAGCCATACCCATAATCATAATCATAGTATAATAATACTGCTCCTCCATTCAATAACCCGCCTTAGACCGAGGTTGGTTTTATGAGCACTCTGGATCGTGAGCACTACTCCGTGGGCTGCCTCTGTGATTTCGATCGCCCTTTTCCATTCCGATGACGGGTTGCTTGAAAAATGCCCGACGAAGACAAGAAAGGAGAGATTTACATAATTGTCCGAAATCAGCAGAATTTTTATATTTACGGACCAAAGAGAATAGAGGTTGGAATACCGAGGATGGTTTATATTAATGGCGAGCTTCTTTTGATACAACCGATAGCAGGGTGGAAGAAATCGCTGCTGTATTTTAGATAGAAATTTATGAATTTTTTTATTTAAGATTCTAGATTGAGGATTGGACAAATAAGAAATTTCGCTCTAGGAAAATTAAGGGTTTATTGGACCGAATAAAAAATTAATAGTGCATTCTTTATTATAGATAATGTCTACTGAGATGAATTTTAGAAAATATTTTTTTGATCTGCTGAAATTAGTGATGAAAAAAAAATGATTAATAAGAAAAATCAGGACCAAATATAAATTTTTTTTTATTTATTGAAAAAACATCTTCATCCATTAATCAGGACGAAAAAATTTGAAAAAATGCAACACTTTGATCCATCGACATCCTATAACACCCGAGGACTTGCCTGGTGATTTACGGCGAAAGATTTAAGACGGTTTAATTACTTGTAACACGAAAGCTCTGGGTCGTATAAATCAACAGTGCCCCGAGGCTCGCCGGAGCTGGAGTCGGGGCTAGAACTCGATTGTTCATTGAGTTATTATCCAATCGTAATCAATCCCCGACAAAGGGTTGGGTGTCTCGAATGTGTCAGCGAGAGCCGGCGCGGAAGGGAACGGGGAATTCGAAGTGAAGGAGCTGTATGCAGAGCCCCAGAATGTCCGATCCTTTGTGCTCGACACCTTTGGAACAGTGTCCGTGGTAGTGGCGTCTGTTAATTCCCGTGTAGATCGCGCTCCATCTGGAACGCCAAGCATTCAATGAGAGAATGGCTTTGAACCTTCTGCATAACGCTCGTTATAATCAAGTTGAGAGAGACTTAGTTACCTGTATCAAACCACCAACGTGTTACCTATCTAGCTGATGTGGATCACACATTCCTCTGTCAGTCGTGTACATATAACACATATTATTCATCGACACACTGCACATTGTCGGGACAACGAGCTTCCTGCAGCGGAAGCTCTCAGTTCCTAGTTTTGGAACTTTCATCATTATACGTCGAAGCTCATGTCAATAGATTATGTGTTCCCGGCATCATTATTGCCGCTTCTCTCCCCTGATTTCCTCTCCTCCTTTTACTTAGATACCCATCAAACTTGTCTCTATAGGATCGGCATTGATGCTCAGCTTTATAATCTTCAATCATCCTCCACATTATGTAATTAATTCGGAAGTTGCGTTTTACTGTGCGCTTCAATTCGTTATGCTTCAAGAATTTTACGTCATTAATTAATCCTTTGATAATTATCTTATTTTTGACTAAGTTAGCTTAAATTCATTTACGAGATGCTATTTAATTAATTTACAATAACTTTGTTAACATTATATCGTGGTTTAATTAGATTCACTACTTGCTAATTTCATAGAAAACTATTTTCAAAAATAACTTGGGTTGAAAAAATTGGCTAAGTAAATTGAAATTAAAAAAGTTTTTATATGGATTTTTGATTACTGATAAATCTAATAATAAATTATGAAACTTTTACACAGAGACTTGAAATTAAATTTTCAAAAATTAAATATCAAAAAATTGCACAATTAAAAATAACATATCTTATTTATTTCTTATAATTGTTAAATTTAGATTTTTTGAATCCTTATAATTGACAAAAAGTTTTATATTTTGATGGTTTTGATATAAATTTTTTTGAAAAATCAATTTCTTCTTACGGAGACTAGAAAAATATAGGTCGATTAAAATGAAAAATCTAAGATTCAAAAGAAATCAATAGTGAAGCTTCTCATAATTCAGACAGAAACAATTGATAAAAACGTTATCCTAAATAAATCAGATAAACATATATGGAAGATTTGAACGTAAAAATAAATTTCGTAGCCATCATTCAGCATTAAGGTAACCCCTTAGAGAACTGACATGATAAATTTGAAAAACAAATGTACATTACAAATATCGTTAGTGTACCTTCTGTGTCTCAGGGTGAGGTTATGAATTTTAGAATCTCGGATTTAATGTACCGTAGATTGAAAGTATTGGAAAATGGTTGATTTTTAATTCAGATTGACTCAAAGAATCAGATTGTCGGAGCGTTAAACGTACATCTCGATTTAGTTTCAGTCTTTCGTTTAGATATAAATTTGAATTGCTAAAAGTCGTGAGTGTAGACCCGACCAGACTAGCAGTCGCGCTCGCGCTCAATCTTTATCCTATGAATGGAAAACGCTTTGAACTGGAAGTAGATATTCGTCTCTACTCCACTCTCTTATCCTTTTTTATATACAATTCCTTCATTTCGATTATCCACTTTTATTTCAAATCCAATTCCATTCCATCTCCAAGTGAATTTTAGCATTTCGACACCTCGCAGCCATCACTCGGTTTACATTCAAATAGAAAAATTTCAAAATTCCATAGAAATTATCTTTTCTTTTACGTTCTTTACATATTTTTACTGAGAATTTGCTCTTCTTATTTTTATTCTTTTTTAAATTATTAATTTACATACCTAACTTAATTTTTTAAATTTACTTTCAAACATTAAAATTTTCCAGTTCTTTTTTTACCAATTTTTTACTTTGAGTTATTTTTTTTCTCTAAATTTTGTGTTGAATTATAATTTATTGATGATCATTATCAAAATAATAAATTTCATCAAATAAAAAAGTAGCTTATTTCCATAAAACTCTTATCAAGTAGTACAGTATCAAAACTTTTTGATATTCCATCAGTAGATACGCATAATATGTAAATTTAAACTTAGCTTTATCATCAGCGTAATTCAATACCAGGAACCATAATAGCGCTTTTCTGTTAACAAGGGTAGTACTCTTGACAAAACAATTAGCATTTGGGAATGTAGAAGCCGAGTATAAGAAGTTGCAAGAACAAAAACTTGTTCTTACACTCCTAAGATGTCTTAGGA